ATATATATATATTAAACCTAACATTCTACTTGGTCTGTGTGTCCACTGAAAGCATGCAGCTTTCTGGCACATTTAGGGAAAATCTACAAAATATATTATGTGTGATACGATGTATTTGAAAGAATACATACCGTTCATGTTGAGGCAGTGACTAATATTGAAGGCATGGATTAATGAACCATACTTTTAATACGTAACTATGTGACCTGTCAAATGTGAGTAATGGATACAGCTCTAAAAAAGAAACAGTTTGCTTTTAGAAGTATCCAATGCCAGTGTTGCCAATCAAAAGGAGTTAAATCACAGTAAGCCCACATTTGAGTGCTTTGTTTCTGAAGCCAACAAGAATCTAGCCTGAGAATTCCTCAAGTGGTCCACTGAAGGTTATTATAAGTCTTATAAGACATAAGTGCTCTGTATCTAATACAAGAGTTAAAAGCCTTCCACTAAAAGCCCCATAATTACATGAATTGCTTGGTACTTCTTTGTGTCTTTATTCATCCCATCATTGTGTACACACCATATGTGCTATTTGTATATTGTCCGGCTTTGTAATTACTGGCTCGATGATGGCGTATTTACAGAGTGTCTGCAATTGTATTAATCAGACATCAAAAGGAGGCAGAGTAAAGCATTAGGCTCTGTTAAAGACTGTTTCTAATGCATGATTTACATTTGGTTTGGCAAGTTAGGTCTCATATCTTCAATCGGGAAATGTTCTGGAAAGACATGCAGGCAGTTCAACATTTTGAAAAATGCAATCTGCGTTTCTCAGAGAGTTAGATTACACTTATAGTTTAGCACAAAAACTGGGAACAGATGGAAACAGCTAGCTTGGCCCTGTCAAAATGTCTAATTAAATCCACCTACATGCCCCTCTAAAGCTTACTGACACCTTGTTTCTTGTTTTTTTAGTTCATAGAAGAAAAAGTACAAATTTAAAATTGACATATTGCCATAGTACAGGGGATTATGGGCCAGACTATTTATGGGTGGTTTGTTGCAGGCAAACAGATCCCGACCAAGAAATAGTCCGGCACATAACCTCGTGTATAACGATGTGGTTTGGGTTTTATATTTTCATTTATTTATTGGTTAATAAGGAGCAGTGCACAATAATAAAACATTGCTGTAAATGCGCCAGAGTTAGCCAAGAGGCTATTTTTCATCTGTAGTCCCATGGCAGATGTTACAAAGTCCACCTAAACATAGAACATAAGATTACATCAAAAAAGTTATGCAATATTTACCCTTAAAGTGTGCAGAACAAATGAAAGAAGGGAAAATATTAAAATAAGTAGGAGCATCATTCAGGAGACTCTTATACTACATTGGCAAGTACTAACAAGACATCCAACACAGAGGCTCACAAAACAACACATACGAAGCCAATAAATGAGGGATGATAAATAGAAACATGGACTATAGACAAGATTATGCTGCTTTGTTAGACACTAAAAACATCCATGTCAGAAGCACAAAACATAAAAGAAATGCATGCAGGTAGATGAGGGACAATATAACTACTTTGACAGCAACTACTTTTGTGAATCCATCATCATCAAATCACTATTGTTGAATTTGTTTTCCAATATTGTCACAGTTAATGCTTCCAGTAAAGACTTCAGCAGCCAACAGCTGTGTTTGACCTTTAATGGAAATGTTTAACTTGCTGCATAGCTGTGCACCTACAGGTACATACTGTAGTGAGAGTAAGATATATATATATATAAATATAATATGTATAACATCTGTTTCATCTAATACTGTACATCATTTGACTTCTCATTGTAATTTGCACTGAATAATAGTTATATAAGATACACGTAGGTCCCTTAAAGAACTCTGCTGCCTAAAATAAGATAAGGTTTTTATTTCAAAGATAAAGAAAGTGCTTCAACACGCTTGTAGATAAACAGTTGCCTGAGAGGCGTTTGCAATCAATCAAGAAGCCGCAGCTGCTTTCTCCACATGACCAAACATGGTCACGTATGAAAAAGTCCCCGACAAGGAAACAAATTCCTCACAGTTTACAAGCCACAACATACTGTAAGGGTGACCTCCTCTGCTGCTCATTGAAATGTTTGTGTACAGTTTGGTTGGAATGCAGTGTGTGTTGTTTTGTGGTCGATAACCACTGACTGGTAAAGTGGAGATTTGCAAGCATCTAAACATCTCTATGAAGAGTTAACAGGCTCAACGGGGCCTTCGCTCTGGCTCTTCAGCTCTCCACTCGGTGCTCTGCAGCTCAGCTTTGTTTTAATAAGCAAAAGGACACAAGGAGTCCATCATCAGCTGACAGGTGTACATTAAAGTGGAAAATGCTGCGTGGTTGCTTTATTTTGTCCATAATGACAACGCTAAAGTTTGAGTGATCGTTAAAACTGGAATAAAGTATGTTTGGTGACACAAGAGGCTAAATTCATCAAAATTTCAAGCAGAGCTTTAGTTTCCTCCTCGACCGGGGACTCAATGGAAACAGACGCAGCTATGTGCACTCCCTGCTCTGCATCCCCTTCAGCTGAAACGTTGCACTCGGCCTCCTTTTAAGGAAGTACACAGGCAGTGTTAGTTGTGGTGTCCCAGCTTGGCACGGTGCAGGGCCATAGACAGTAAGCATGGTTTACTCTAGGAAATATCTGCTGCTATACAAAGTGACAATCCAAGAATAACTTATTTCCATTGTGATTGCTGATGATCACCTTTCCATAACGTTGCTGGGAGACAGAAAGTATGACTGGAAGGAAAGCTGATTGCTTACGGTCAATAAAAGGAAACAAACTATGGCTGTTAGAAGATGGGTTTACAATAGTAGAAGTTTGACACAGTGGAAAAAGAACAGCTGGCTCTCTAAACAAATAAATCCGACTTCTGAATCATTCCAGTGTTGATGTAAGGAATGTTATTTCTCTTTACACCAGCCTTGATGGCCGACTGATTGCTGATGAATGACTCTATTAATGTCAGAGCCACTAACAACTCACCTCTACCCCTCCTGTAATTTGCTCATGTGGAAAACCATTTCCTCTGCTTTTTAGAGTGTCCCACCTGTACAACTAGAGAGCAGACAGCCTCCCTCCCTGTCATACACACTTCTGAGCTACAAAGACTCCTTTGTGCTCAGACAAAAACATCAGCAGCAGAATCTCCCCTGTATTCTCTTTTGGCAAAATTTGATTCACGAACTCTTTTTTAACGGACGACTTTTGGACTCAAACTGTTCAAAAAGTCCCCTGTGTGTGCTTGTGTTCACAGGACAGCTGACATCCTACTCTCTCTTGTCACCAGCAATATGCAGACATTGGTGTTTGTATCAAACACGGCTAAACACGTCATTAAATACAAATCTGTGATCTTTGTATCGTGATCGTCAGGCTGTGTGTTCACATGTATGCTTGAAATCAAATCTCTCCTAAATAACTTGTACATTCACACAGCTGATTTCACTCTCGTGACGCAAAATCAACCTGATTTCAAGTAACCGAGAAGGGGGAGAAGATGCTCTCAAACCCAAACATGTGTCCAGTCCCCAAAGAGGCTGTGGTCATAAACTCACACAGCCCCATGTGGTTGTAGCATTTATCTTCAATACCATCTAAGGAATAGGAGCCTGACTTGGCACGTCCTCCACGCCAAACAACCTTTCCACAAGCAGACGTCTGCTCAATGTACCAGTAACAGAGATCCAAGTCAAACTATAGCATTCATTGCTGTTGGACAGAGCAGATGCACGTGCCTCAAGGACACCAATTTGCAGAGGCATACCAACAAAATGCACGTTTCAGCTTTCAATTGCTTCATGCAGGTCCCGTCTCCCGTATACCATCTTATGTATGTCATTTGGATGCAGTGCCAGCTTATTCCAGTCCCTCTGCAGAAATATACTTAACGACACAAACTTTATAGTTTCAACTTTTCAAGAACTTCATAAGGAGTTAACTGGATGACCATCAACTGAAAGGATTTATTGACTTTCATTGCATTAAATCAAGTTCAGCAACATTTTAGAATGTTTGGATAACAGAGTTATATATATATATATATATATATATATTTTGTTGAGTGCCATCTTGTCCAGCTGTTACTCTGCCAGAGGTTGACCCTTCTTAAGCCAGTGCACACATTTTTGTAACGAGGGGAGACATTTCTACATTCTGTCCAGTCCTTTTAACATCCGCTTATTCTCAGCTTCTTTCTCCAATGAATTTTTTTTAGTGAGATTCATGATAAAATTAAGTAAAATAGTTTCCCCAAGAGGAGAGGAGTTATCTACATAACATATAACCTGAGTAAGTTACAGTCTGTTACATGTAGAGCATCCGTTCCTCATCTAAACCAGCTGGTTAAGTTTAAGACACACACCTACCTCGTCATGACATCAAGTGATGTTTGGAGAGCAGCACAACTTTAGCTGTCGTTAGTGCCGGGAATCTGAATCTGATCAACTCTGATGACAAGTCTCTAATTCTTCCATAATAGTCACAGACCACCAAAAAGTAACACCCCTCTTTATCTGCATTAACTTACCAAGTTATTCAGCAACACACATTGTCATCGTCAAACTTACCAGACCGGCAGACCAAAGTGACTGTTCTTGCTGGAAATCAGCAGAGGGAGAGCAACCAGAGGTTTATAAGCACAGCATGCAGCGTCCAGCCCCGCCTGCTGAAGCTGCAACTCAGTGAGGTTCACATTGGGCTGACACTGGTGTGCGTGTGTGTGTGTGTGTGTGTGTGTGCATGAACACCGTCTAACTTTAGGGCTCTAGTTTATACACATTATGATTTACCCTTGGTAATATAAATAGATACACCGAGCATCAATCAAAGTCTTTCTGAGAAAATTATAAACTTTGTGTGTCAGGGTGGTTTCTTTTCTTCATAATTTCTTCACAACAGTAAATTGTTGTATATGATGTATAAGAGTTTTCTGAATGGTTGCTGAAAAACATACTTTATATCATTCTTAAAATAATTCATGATCAAGATGAAGTTCTCTTTCACTCATTCCCCTGCTGGTGAGAATGCATGTTTGGTAAGAAATGCAAAATGTCAGTTGTATTTCAGATGCCTGATCCACACAGTATACTGTAGTATCTACCAGGATACATGGCATCATTCCTGTCATATAGATGGGTCTATGATGTTCATGATCGTGTCCATTTAAGAGCGTTTCCATCCAGTTAGAGGGTTCCTTCCTGGCTCAGCCTTACTGGTTTGGCCAAATTACAGAAATGTTTGAGAAATGACGAGCCACTCCTCTGTGGTAGCCAAACAGACTCAGTTGTTTATCGTTTCCAGTGGGCTCAAGGCGACCGGAATCTAAATTGCAGGCATATCTGTACTTCCCAAACAGCATTGTTGTCTAGTTTGTTTCCGTTGCTCCATTACACAGTGTATAACTAACTTTATATCAGTGTGACATCTGACACGCCTTCCTGTCTTCAAATGATTAAGTGTTGCATAAAATGAAGCTTGAAATTGACACAAAACACCGAAATAAAAAAAAAAAAAAAGTATGTTTAAGGAAAAGTTAAATTCCCTTTTATTTCATCATGCAGGCTCTCATATGGTAAGGTGTGAACAGCAGGGAAGACATTAAATAACCCATGAGATTACAAATACAGTTTTTTCTTTAGTAGCTACAAATGCATCATCTCTTCTCCCCCGTTGACCTAACAGACCAGTGTACAACATGACAGTGACAGAGAAACAAAACCAAACATCCCGAGACACAAATGATGCACAGTGCTGTACATCTACAAACAAGAGACACAGTACAACAGACAATACAGCAGCCGATGCCACACACAGCAACATAAGATAGTGGTGGTATAAGACGTAATGTGCAGACTCAAAAAGTAGTTTGTAACATTTTCACACGTTAACATATGCAACATGAAATTGCACATGTATAAATTTAGTAACGCTATTTACCATTCACAGGTGTTGCATTTAATTAGAAAGGGGATTTGTTTAAAAAAAAAATTCTCCCCAAAAGTGCAAAGCATAAACCAGTTATCACCAAATTGCCACAGTGTTTTCAACTCAACCTTTTCTTTTTTCACAGTTAATGTGCTGTATAAACCTCATGGTGCAACAGCTTCAGCTCTAGTGCTTACTCTTACCGAGTGGGCTATTACATAGCGTGAGTAACTGTGACAGCAGATGAGTTCAATGGTTTTGCATGTTTACAGCTTTTCTGTGTGTCACTCTTACCCCGTTCTTGGAATGAACAGCCTGGCAATCAATTTCTAAAGAGGTAAGATCTGTTAGTGGAGTGCTTTTATCCTCAAAAAGTAAATCACCCACGAGACCCGTTTGATGCTCCTTAAAAGAAGCTTTCATAAAAAGTAGCTGTATTTGAGCGTTACGTTAATACTGAAGGCACACGTTTTAAATGCAAGGGAATATTCCGAAAGCTCATCAATGTAACGGAAAAGTATCTTTTAGAGAAGTGTTTTTCTCCCGAGATCATATATTTGAAGATTTCTCAGCTTCAACCACATTACAATTGAACTGCAAGGTAGAGTCAATAGGTAAACGAATAAACAACCACTTTAGGGTCACCATACAGGCATAAGTGGTAACAGTTAGCTTAAACATCAGCGCTTACACAAAATACAACTCGACACTGCGCTGAAACATTTACAGTAGTTCCTCCTGTTCCAGTCGGACCTATGACACGCGTTATGTATCCAGGTGAAGCCACTACTACACACCTTTCCTTTGAATCTTATTAACAATGTGCTGTTATTGTAAGATGTCATATATTATTATTATTATTATTATTCTTCAAGTCTTTTCAAGAATTTTCTCTGGACTTAATAAAAAAAGTGCACACAGGCAACCAGAACAGAACTATGTTAAGTCTTACAGCCAGTGTGTTCAAGTAGTCGGTTTGGCTTTTCCCTGGTCCTCCACCTTTTTAATTGCCGCCTGAATCTTCGCCTGGTCTCCCAAGAGCTGTCGGGGTTTCACGGGCTTGAGGTTTTCATCCAGCTCGAGCAGCACAGGTATCCCTGTAGGTAAAGTCACGCTGGCAATATCCTCATCCGATATACCTGTTGAAATAAGGACAGCAATATGAAGATAACACGAAACAAACGAGCCACAACCAGGCTTGATAACTAATATACATGAACGCTGTAATGAAAGCTTGTTGATAAATGCTCCATAATATTAAGTAATAGTCCATATGGGTTGAATTAATGAGTGTCCTGTGGCACAAGGAGCCTCTAAAGCTTACGAGTGTGATGAAAGGTCAGCGTGGACTTGATAGCCATCGCCGAATGTAACATAAACTCACTGGCCTTTTTACACAAGTTCAACTTTCCATTTGTGGAACTGAAAATATGTCCTTCCCAATTCAATGGCTGACGACTAGAAACAGCAGCCTGTACAGCAGCAGACTGAATGCATTTACTGCACGAACACAAAAGCTGAGAGAGCGCTGTTTAGAATAGCTTGGGTCAGTTCGGTACGGCATACCTTCCAGGTGTTTCAGCAGAGCTCTGCAGCTGTTTCCATGAGCAGAAATGAGCACAGTCCTGCCTTTCCTTATCTCTGGCACCACGGTGCTGTCCCAGTATGGCAGCAGCCTGTCCAACACCTCCTTCAGGCTCTCTGCTCGGGGAAGGTTCTCCTTCGGCACGTCACAGGTGGTGTATCTGCGGTCATTGTAGATTTCCAGGAAGTAAGGGTGGGATTCATCAATCGGAGGTGGAGCGATATCATAGCTCCTTCTCCACAACTTCACCTTTTCCTCTCCGTGCTGCAGAGCCATCTCGGCCCGGTTCAGGCCGATCAGGGAACCGTAGTGGCGCTCGTTCAGTCTCCAGGACTTGACCACGGGGACCCACTCCTGACCCATAGCCTCCAGCACCAGCCACGCTGTCTGGATGGAGCGGCTGAGTATGGAGGTGAACACTAAGTCGAACTTGTAGCCCCGCTCCTTTAGAAGTCTCCCACAGTCCTGGGCCTCCTTCACCCCATCCTCGCTCAGCTTCTGGTCGACCCAGCTGCAGAAACGGTTCTCTTTGTTCCAGGCCCCCTCCCCATGCCTCAGCAGAAAGAGTCTGTACTTGGACATCCAAAAGCACCAACAGCAGACACCTGCACACATTGAGCAGAAATTAACAAAACAGTTGTGCAGTTAGTGAAACACCTGGGAAATAATATTAATATTAAAGCTGCAAGCAGCATTGATCGGGCCCTCGCAACTTCACGCACGTCGAGGGTACTGAAAGGACTCTGGGTGACCCGGCCATGCATTTCTGTCACCATCATACTCTGCGTGCACGAGTTAATGATATTTCCTGCGTCGACCAGCAGCCTAGCAAGATCATGTTGCCAGGTCTGAAGCCTCAAATGTTGAGAGTGTACCTCCGATACAATCATAAATGTAAGCCTGTTAAGATCATTAAGAAAATGAATGTGTGTGAATGCGCTTCAGTGTCTGTAACATAACAGACTGAGTGACAGGCTAAAGGCAGATAGCAGATAATATACAGCTAGCTTTATTCTTAGGCTGGACACAATGAAAGCTATCGTTAGCAGAATAAGTATGCGAATATTTCATTGGATGGTGATGCACTGCTCGTCTGATTGATGGACGCGCTGCTATGTAGAATATACGGTTTATATTATGGCCGCTCAGCCCCAGGTAAAGACAAGACCAGCGTTAAACTAAAACAGAACTCCAGGCATGTGGCAAAGTCATCCCAAAATAATCAGAATATTGTGAAAATGTCATCTTACCCTGTGTGCGTTTTAAATCCGGCCTAAAAGTAGCTGGAACAGTCGTAAATGTTTGGCCATGCACAGCAGTTGTTCCCGTGAACGTAGCTGAATGACAATCCATCCCTCCAATCAGAGTGGCGGATATCACAAGTGGGCGGTGCCTTTAATCAAATGTTGTGCCCATATTAGGAGTGGTAGTAACGGCTAAGCACGTTCACCGTAGAGCGAGGAGGAGGGGAAAGGAGGGGCGTGACCGTCCACCAACCGTTGCTTCTCAAACATGAGTGTATTGAGGCGGTACAGTCCGCTAGCTAACAGTCGGTGCGATGCTGAATGGGCTCTGTGGTTCAGAGGATTTATGGTGTTTGTAAGACAAGGACTGCAGTTTAAGTAGTAATGCTTAAATCATAAAACATGCAATGTTGCTTTAAAACAGTCACAATATTGTATTTGCATTAAAGGGAGAGCCACCACGATATGTGGGGATCTGTATAACAAAATCTAAACAAAATGTATGACTAAATACTAATAGATGATAATGTGATTAATTCGATAGGTAACAGAATTCCAGTTTAAGACAGAGAGGACGAATTTTCAATGTAATTTATATTTTATTATTGGAAACACAATTTATAACACTGCTTCTTCTCATCTTAATGTCTAAGTTAAATGCCACATTCATTTTCAAGGTTCCTCACCTAATTTAACTCAATGAACAGTTGAACTCCAACATAAGTTGCCCCTGGAATGTGTATCTATTCAATCCAACAGGCTTTTTTTCTTCTTCTCAGAAACACAAGTATACCCAGAAATGTTCTTCTTCATGTTCTATATTGTCATCTAAGTCCATGATTCAAAAGACATACAATTTATAATTGTAGACAAATCTGCATTTTCTCCAAGTCTTGTCTGTTTATTAATGTTTATGTCAAGCAGACATTAGAAAGCAAGCCAGTAACATTACCACAGGTGACCTGAACAGCCAAAAGTGGAGCTGTGTTCATGAATTCATGTGAATGCTAAAACTACAAAGGCAATATAGTGCTCTAATATACATATGTTTTTGATAATACATCATACATTATGTTAAAAACTATATGTACTGAATGAATTATGGTAAAGTTAAACTCTTTAACCATTGTCACTACCACAAACACTTGAAACATGAACTTGTCAACTTGGTCTTTACGTGATTCTCTGTCATTATATAGTAAACAACAGTGGCATGTTTCATGGGTTCGTTTGTGGAGCGGCAAAATATCTTCACAAAGAAATTCACCACAAAATCTACTGCGCAGCATCAAACAGCTTCTTCCTGCCCTCCATACCGGACATGGATTCCACGTTCTGACGCCAGTCAGTCACTTCCTCTTTCTGTGGGGGGGGGGGAGATGATTTAGAATCAGCTCAGTACGACTAAAACACGACTGCTTGTAGCCCTTCTTACACCACAAATAGGCATTCAATGTTGGGGAATACACTTGCTTGTTATTACGAAAAGAAGAATCAAATTCCTGCACTGAACATTACTGCCTCAGATTCTGTACAACTGCATTCTTAAATCCTCCACACGTTTTTTATAAATACAATTAAAACCCTTCTTAGGTCGTATCAGTCTACTTTCTACTGCAAAATGTCAGCAATTATTTATTTATTTGTCCCCAAAGTTAAGATGAAACCTGCAACCTTGATTGCAAACAATGTGTAATGATGAAAAGGTATTCTTTTTTTATGTTTTTAATTGTTTTTGTGTGCTTGTGTGTTTAATGTACACAGGACTACTAGAAACAGAACTTAATGAGCAGACTATCCTCATTGAAGGAAGTGAACTGACTTGGAAGTGACACCACACAATGTTACGCATTACTTACCTTCTCCTCCTCTTTCTTCACCGTCTTCAGGTTGGCCTTGAAGTCCACGGACTCTTTGACCTTAGAGCCCAGCAGAGCTCCCAACATGGCGTCAGCAGACACCCTCACCCTCTTCAGAGCCGGTCTCTTCATCTTACCCTTCAACTCAAAGACCTTCTGAGACAGCTCCTGTATCTTTTTATGACACAAATGTCAAACGCACCCTCAGCAGTACCATACAACTTTCCAAATCTGAATGAATATTGTTGACATAAAAGGATAGAACTCAACCTGTTCACAAATACTGCTTACCTCCCTACTATTCTTCGTCACTTTAGAATCGATGTCATACCGCTCTTCATCAACCACATCCATTTTCTGGTGCAGCTCTTTGCACATATTCTGTGGACACAAGACACATTTAATTTATTAGACTTGTATAAATACCAACTTCGTGGAATATACTGATACCGCAAAGAAACATTGCACAGAGACGGTGCAACACAGAATACTACTCTTCACAACTCTCTCCTCCAGTACACCATGATTTGTTCAACAAACGTTTTCGGGAGTACCACCCTGATGAAGGTAAGATGGCCGAAAACGTTAAACAAAGCATGGTACACTGGAGAAGAGTTTTAATTTCGATGGACATGCGTTGAAGCTCACACAGGTCTGCACCTCAGTGTGTGCGCTCTCAAAGTAAGCACATTGTTTTCAAAATATAGCATCATATTAATTTGTATAAATACATGCAGCAGTTATTGTACAATGTGTACAATGTGCAGCTGAATCCAAGGACTTTGCTGTGGATAGTTTCTAATATTAAAACTGTTGACTGTGGACTAACTGAGGTGCATTGCTACTGAGGTTTTTAAATGTCATGTTTGAAGCTTTGAGCGTCACAAACTAAATAAAATTCACCTTGATTGTAATTTGGTGGCAGCAGAAATCTAAGTGACAGATATCTCAAAACCAAAAGCCATTGTTTGCAGCTGGATACCCATAGGAGTAGGTGTGGAAAAGTAACTTTTGTGAAGTGCTTGGACAGTTATGTGATTACATTTTAGAAAGCTCCTCGTGTGGATTGATATGCTTCACTGATAAATGTACCTGTAGATCCTGCATAGACATGCGTGACAGTTGGAGTTCGGGGACTCTCTCGGCGAGGGTTCTCTCTCGTTCATCTTTTCTGGCTTGAGTTTCATTTTCCACCATAGTCATGGCCTTCTTCAGCAGTTTGGTCTGGTGCACATACATGTTCAGAATTACGCCCCAGCCAACCAGACAATGTGTGGTTAACAGCACTTAAAGATTTGTGCAGCAGTACTATCCAAGACTAAGACACTGTTACACATAAAATACCTTCAAGAACAGTCTGCGGGATGCCGAGATTTTTGGCTTTGGTTTCTGGAAAAGAAAACGTTATACACGTCAGATTTCTTGTTTAACTTTTAAAATATTCAACAGTACACAGTGAATTTCCCAGTGTTGGTTCTTCTGTACTGGTATGATTAAAAAAAAACACAAGTTGTTATGCAATGAGATTAATAACTCACCGAAGATCTATCCAGTTAGGAAGTTGGTGTCCACATTTCAAGAAGAGAAAGAAAAAGGTGCAATTTGTTACATTTGTTGAATATTTTGTAGTAAGTTGGGGTGTGGTGGAAGTAAATGAGACATGTGCGCTTACCCTTCACTCATGGTTGCAGTTCTTTATGTCTCCCCCTCTTAACTCTATCTTACACAGAAAGGATAAACACAATCTTTTCTTCTTTGTTTTTTTTAACTGAAGAATACACATCCTAGCTAATTAATAAAAAAGAAGTAAAATGCTTCACTTCTAATTGAGGAATATATATATATATATATATATACCATGGGTTGCAGTTCCATAGCAGAGGACACAAACAGTGTGTGACATTGTGTAAAGGTCAGACCTACAACTTAAAAAATACTCTCCTAAATAAAGCCTAAAATATTCATAATTACCAGACAAGTAATCAATCAATACCACCGAGGGCAGGATTCATGTTGTATATGATATAAATAGTTTTTTACTTTTAATTTAACAAGCAAAATTCTTCAATTACAGCACATTACAATGAAATTAAACTACACAATTATAAACAATTTGAAAAGGTTGCAAAAAAGAAAAAGACATATAAATTAAATCCACACTGTTAAGTGATGTTAATAACTTCAGCCAGCGGATCTCCAACCTGAACAAAAAAAACCTCTCCAACCGACTCACATGTGAAGAGTTTCCTTTTTAGAAATTAGATTTTTTTAAATGACATTTAGTTATAAGAAATTCTAACAGAAATTAACATGAATGCTTTTTTTAGAGGGGGAAGATATATCTGCCTTGCTTTTTGAATACAGATACATTTGGAGCATCAGTTCATAGCAAGAGTACCGTAACAAAAAGCCTTCATTTGCTCTTTTATCCCTTCATGTTCTGTACTATTTCAGAATAAAACTCCTTACCTTGTGCAGCAGGTGACAAATAGTCACCGGCGTCTTTTTCTGAGACGAGAAGGGCAGACAGAAGGTAGATATATAGATTCCAGCGCTCATGTGAGTGGCTCAGTAAAATAGACCCTCTGTCCTCACCATTCTTGCTCTGTGTCTCTCACATCGCACATGAGGTGTGACATCTTACTGGGTCTCCCCACTTCTGACGCTTCCTTCGTCTCATCCATCTTTGAAGGAGCTTTAATCCAACATAAGTTATGTGTTGAATAAAATTGGATCCCACATAAAATGCAAAGTGACTATTAGATCACACAGTGGAGGAAAACAACAGCCGGATTGTTATATCTTTATTGAGACAAAATCACTGGTTTTGTGTTTGTATCAAGTACAAAATCCAAATATGAAGATAACACACTTTTCACTGCAATAACCTTAACAAAGAGTGCAATCTTGCTGTCTGATTTTTGCCATTATATCTTTAATAGGTAATACATCTTGAATATCCGACAAGCTAGATGGCAATTTATCACAGCAGATAACACAGCAGCAGTTGTTAATTTACGAGGGACAAACAATGTTTCTCCACAGTCAACATATTACACTGCCGATCCACTCCACACTCAGAGTGATGGTTTGAAAGAGTTATGCTTCCACCTCAAGGCTGCAGAGGAGACCTGCAAACAGTCACTGCTTCACTGATACACAGCAGGTAATGACACAAAAATGTTGAAATCAGTATCAGCGTACTTAGAACATTGTATTTTGAACATAATTTAAAGACCACTTGAATTCTAGTTTCTCTTTAAATAAACAATATCTGTTGCTTTTCCTTTATTTCTGTTAGATTACAACAAGCAAGACCATCCTGGTTTAAAGGGTCTTTGTCCTATACCTGCAATTCATAAATTGATATAATATAGGTAAGACAGTTAAGTAATGTTAAGAATTTATTATAAGAAGATGATCTCTTGATCAAAAGTACATGTTTCTTTAGTTGCCGGAGGCGTCAAACAGCTTCTTCCTGCCCTCCATACCAGACATGGCCTCCACGTTCTTACGCCAGTCAGTAACTTCCTCTTTCTGTTGGAGACATAACATATCAGAGACAACCAGATCATTTCAAACAAAAATAGCCGCTAAAGCAAAAGCCAGGTTTACCTTTTCCTCTTCCTTCTTGACTGTTTTGAGGTTGGCCTTGAAGTCGATGGACTCCTTGTGTTTGGAGCCCAGCAGAACGCTCAGCATGGCCTCAGCTGAGATCTTCACTCTCTTCAAAGTCGGCTTCTTGAACTTACTCTGTATCTCAATGATCTTCATGTTCATGTTGTGTATCTGGACGGGGATTCAATTGATAGAAAGGATTGTGAGTCAAGTACACCATATTCCACATTTACATGAACACAATGTAGAGGGAAGCTCCTAAGATTCTTCCCCACATCCATATGGATTTATGAACCCTGGGATTTATCAATATGTCTACTTGTAATTAATCCATAATTGAGAGCTGAAAGTTTGCTATTAATCTTGTAATTTAATTAAACAAAAATAATAATTTATTGTCCATTTATCAGGGACTATTAACCAAATCTTGCAGTCTTCCTCAGCTGATATAGGTCACCTGGATGAAGTGAGATGTATTTAAAAGCTCCAGAAAAAAGCTAATTAGTGGACCTTGAGTCTTACTAATTCTATAACTATTTAGATTTTGTTTGTACACATTTGTTCAAGTAACCAAATCACCTTTGAAAATCTAACAGATTGGGCCAACCAGTAAAAAGTCAGAGAAACTCTACTACTTTATAAAACAAATATTATTTTTTTAAATAACCATTACTGGAGAAAATAAATAACATATGCAAAGAAAACAATTTTGAATTGCTACTTTAATAATCTGTGGTTAGGAAGGACTGATTGCTTAAAACCAAATATTTGATATATAGTCAATCTTGCCTCAATTTATTATTGATCTATCTATGAAATTGAATATGAATGACACTGCTTGGGGTTTTATTTTTCATGATGTCAGTGTTAAAACCCAAACGTTGTGTTGCGTTCCAGGATATATTTGGGGCACTGTTTGGTGCTATAACAAAGTCACAGAGTGCATCTTTATCCGTATCATTCTGTTATGTCCTCATGCCGCCACTTGGAGGCACTGTTTGTTCACAGTTAGCGGTTTTATGTTATGACCCCCGTCTTCACAGTATTCACGTTTCCACGTGCATCACTTTAATTCCCTTCTCATTCCCGAGCAGCTCACCTCTACCTCGTTTTTGGACACCTTGAGGCCGATATCATACCACTCCTCATCTACAGCATCAATCTTGTGATGCAAGTCTTTACAAATATCCTGTTTTTTAAAAAAAAAGTAGAAGACACCATCTTGTGGAATCAGAATATGATAGTAAACTAGACAGAAATATAGTGAGTGTACTTAGAAGATTTGGACAAAGTTAAATACCTGAAGGTCTTGCAAAGACTGACCAGACAGATTGAGAGGAGGAACTCGCTCTCCCAGAGTAGCTTCTCTCTCCTTCATTTTCTGCTCCGTCTCCTCCTGCAGCATCTGGGCAGCGATTGTCAAAAGTCGGATCTAAAGAAAATGTCAAAATAATAAAAAAATAATAAAATTTGATTGGGCTCTCTAGACAGCAATGGTTCACATAAATACGAGAATTTTCAATCAATTTAAGTGATAACACTTGACCATAAGAATGCCACACCCTTTAAGAATATTTATATATATATACTGTATATATAGCACGTACACTGTATGTATCATGCATTTCTCAACACACTTTACAACCATTTTCTGAGGTTTATACAAAGAGCATGGACTCTAACATCTAATTCTTTATAATAAATACATTTAAAAAACATCGCAAATAAAAAACATCTTACCTTCAACCCCAGCTTTCGAGAGGAGGAGATCTTTGATTTTTTCTATAATTCACACATAAAAAGCATTTAATACCGTCCATATATACTATGTATGAACGGTACATTTGCATATATGATCTTTTAAATTGCATTATTATATAACTAGATGACTGAGAAAAGAGCTCATTTCTAGATGTTGATAGATACTCACAGCTCTGTTGGAGCATTAATAGCAAGAGAGAGAGGAAAAAAACATGTCAACATATTTACATGATTAAAATCAATACATAGTTTTAAAGTATACTTTGAAGCTGTCAATGAACAACGATTATACTCACGGGTCAGCCATGGTTGTCTTAAATTCCGGCACTAGATGTGAAAAAAAGTATAAGATAATGAAAAGTATTTTTTCTGTGAAGTTTTAATGCATTTAATTCTAAACAGAGTGAATTCACCTTTTAACACCTGTTCAAATGAGCTGGACGCTGAAGATCGATTACTTTTTTAACGTCCCTGCTCAAAGTATTTAACACACTCCCAACATTCATTGGCCCATTAAAGCTGAGCAAAGTTATTTATTGTCCGCTCATTTGTTGCCCTAGTACATAGGCTGATTGGAATATGTTTTTTACCAAACTGTTGTAATTCACATTTTGCATTCATTGCATTACATTTTGTTTACTTTATTGAGGTGAACATTTGTCACTGACATTACATATTTCAGTTACAATACAACTGTACTTTTTTTATTATGATTTTCCTCATTCAAATAAAAATTCAACCAGAGTTAAATGTAATAACTCTGGTTATTATAACAAATTTAAATACATATTACAACTAAATTGAATAATAGGTTAAGTGCAGACTTCGGTTTGCTGTTTTATAGTATGCATAGTTACAGAATACAGCTTTAAAAATGACTGTGAAAGCACTTGTGTCATTAGCAAAGTTTCAAAGGGCAGGATCAGTGGTCATGTTAACATAACTGACAAGAGCCTCTGCATAGGTGACAAAGAAGTTGAATGGCCAGATAATCCACAGGCATGTAAACTGACAATGTTCAACTTGCTGTGAATCTTAATCACAGTGATATCCAAAAAAACCAACAAAGTGAAGATAAGACACTCCTCTGAATGAGACACTTTACAGATTATAAATGAACTGTGAGTAATTGTTTTAAACTTGCTGCTGCACGCCGAGAGGTGTATCCTTATTTACAGAACTAAGATCAAGACTTTAACATGCACACCACACCAAGTTTACTGCAATCCACAATGACCAGAATAAAAGCAACTCTGTACCTTATCGAAGCCGAACAACTCCTCGAGCCTCCAAACTGAAGGAAAGTGTGTGTGAGGGAGGCAGCAATCGACTTTCTGAGAGAGAAAAATCATTCAGATTTATAGCGGCAGTGCGAGTGTGAATGGCTCACTAAAATAGACTCCAGTCTGTCCGCCAACAGTGACATTTACTGTTGCACATAGCATCCCCACTGTATCATACGGCAAAGGGGGTAATACAACTTCATTTATGGGCCCATACATTTGGCATCTTGTGTTATTTTGCCAACACCTGTTGGTGGAAGTGACAGTGAGAATTTAAAGAGACATTATCCACTGACCCACTGGTTGGATGCTGGGTTGGAGTCACACATTCACATTTGACCAGGGTCAGCTCGGGGGAGTTTGGATAAAGCTGTTAAGGACTCAAACAGAAGGAAGAAAACAACCTAGAGGCATTATTCTTTTGTTTGGCTCTTTCATTTATAGTCCAAGTTTGAATCTGGACTACGTCAGGACGTCCATCTATAGGCATCTAATATTATTTAACCCGCATATAAAATATCTGTGTTTCTAGTGAACACATCAACTGTGTGACATTGATTTGTTCATGCCAATTTACAAATTCATCATCAAAATAGAGAGTAAAACATTGAAAATGAATAAAATGAAGCTTTGTTGAGAGCTTGAGACTTTAAATAGTTTTGTCTCCTTGCAATAATTCAAATATAGCTCTTTTTTTACTTTTACCACATCACAGCAAGAAGTAAGAAGCATTTTCATGTTCAGTGCACACCTTGTTGTACATTATTATCAACACTCCATTGCATTTGTGCGACGATGACAGACTTTTATAGCCTGATAACACATTATAGGACCACCTTGGAGGTAAGGACTAAGCCAAATGTTAGTCGGGTTTTATTTAGTGGAGCAGAGAAACAAAGACAGGTGCTTGTCAGGACGTGATGGTTTGTAAACTGAGCCAGCCAGAGTTCAATCTGACATTGTTGTAACAGGGAGTCAAGTGGCTCACAGGGCCACGACTCATGCCCTCACGTAAGGATTGGTAGGCAGCAAACGATTAAACAAGAATAGTAGAGTACAAACCTCGGGTCAAACACTATTTTTAGATCCCTTCTTGCAGAACTTGCTTGAGTATTCAAGCTACGGGTTAGACGAAGAATGGTAAAAAATAATATCCTGTTATTCCCTCTGATGGGTCGAGCTCCAAGAACACTGGAGCCTATATTTCCCATCATGCATCAAACAGCATCTTCTTGGGATGCTGCATTCACACAATGTCGGCAAAACCTCCTGTCATTCTGACTCAGGAGTGTTGATGCTTGATTTCCTCCAATGCCAGCCTTGTAATTACTTCATTGATATTAATCTACTACTTTTGTGGCTTATTTAAATCAGCTCTTTAACAAGTGAGAACAGATGCAAAACCTTCTATAGCTTCTTTTACATTTGCAGATTTTATTGTATTAGCGTTAATATAGCATTTTATTTAGATGTAACTGCCATGGCTTTGCGGCCATTTAGCCAATGTTTTTTAGTTCTTTCCACCAAGTGGAAGAAATTGTCGCTGTCAGAAATGACCGAAATCTGCGACTCCAAAGCTGACAAACAATATGTGAACGTGAACACAGCATTAGATCCCTGCCTGGAAAAACTCCCTCGTCTTTCACCTCCAGTTTGTTACGCGGCCTTTCTGTCACCAAACCCAAGGCAAGATAACCCGGATGACATCACTATGACATCATCATGGGTTCATTTCTCACACTTGACAAACACTTGTGACAGATATGGCATTATGTAACTCTTTGATAGTAGTTTACTGACTTTTATGTGTAAGTCGGTAGAGTTCCCCCCGTAATGCTGTATGCTTTGTGTGTCATCACTGTCGTGTATGATTTACCATGTTAAAAGTGTTAAGAGAGAGTGACTAATACTTTTAGATCAATGCTGAAAGGGCAGCAGTAACTAAATGGCATCATTTATTCAACACACTGGATGGAGTTTATTGTTACTGTATGACTAGCGATGCAAGCATTTTGCTGAATAATCTGCTGATTATTTTCTGGTTTCATTGATTTATCTTTTGGTTACAAAAATATCAGAAAACACTGAGAGGTTTCCAGAGATGAAATGTCTTCAAATGTCATGTTTCGGAGTAGTCCCTACCAGCTTTTTTTTGTGTCAATCAACAACTTGATTAAGTTGTAATTCATTTTTTTTGCAGAAGTGTTGATTGGTACTGTGTACTCCGGTGGCTCCCGTGTTGCATTACTGAGGAGTTTATTGCAGTCCTAAACCTGCAACCTCTCTTATTTTTGGAGGTTTCCAGTTCTTAATATGAATGTTAAGTCTCCCTTGATTTACAAACGTGATTTAACAACTTCGTTCTCAGCTGCTGCTGTTGCCAACCTGGAACTATTGCTGCCATCTGGCTGATAGCGGGTCCCAGTTTGGTGGATAATAAAATAGATATTTAAAAAAGAAAAATGGTGCGGTGAATTTGCGGTGAATTGTTGTAAGTTGTAGTAAAGATGGAGAAGACAATACCTTGAGGGCCAGTCTGCGAGATGCAGAGATCTTTGATTTTTTCTACAAAGAAGCAGTTGAGAAAAGTTTTTAGCAGCAAAGGTGATACAAAAATACATTTAGTTTTGTATCTAAGTGTAGACTTTCTTGAGCTTATCTGCACTAATAACATAGCTAACTTACCTGTCTGTAGTGGACGTTATCACATTATGAAAGATGAATGGTAATATAAATAGATAAAGAATGACTTTGATTTTACTGATACTGATTTACATAATGAAAAAATTCAAAACTTACCCCTCAGACATGATTGGCTTTTGTCTGTAAAAATAAAATAATTCATTACTATTCAATACCAAAGTAAATATTATATGTATATATATATATATATATATATAATATTCAGAATAATGCTACACACATGCAGTATTCTTCCTGTTTAACATTAATGAACAAGATGTATTGTAAAAACAGTAACATTTCATGTTAAATATTTAACCAGTTATTCTGCTATACTGTTTATTCACCCTTTTGTTAAATGAGTCATCAAGACCTCGGTATGGTAATATACCAACATTAAATCTTTAAATTGGCAACACAGCATGTGTGAGTGCTGAAGATTATTTGAATGATAATACTTTTAATACTTTTTTAATCCCAGCTGGAGTAAATCCATTTAATAGGTCAGCCAGATTAAGAACCAAAGTCAGATATTTCTTTTGACAAATAAATATAACAAAATGCAAGTGGATCATCTTTTTAATGAAAACTATTTCCCAGAAGCATTTGTTAAAATTATTCAAATGTGACGGTTTGCTAAAGTGCATGTGTCCATTTGAATTGCTTGATGATTGAATTTAAACATTAAATGGATGATGGACTAAATGTGCCTTTGCATTAAATGCATATTTCATAAAAAGTAGATATAAATGTCTTGTTTTGTTCTCTTTAAGATGAAAGTCTATTTAATATTTTACAGTAAATTTGCATGCTAGAGTTTTACATCAGCATCATAAGGTTCCATCTGTTCTTCCAGATGATGCAACAGGTGAAATTGTCTAATTGTCTTATATTTTCTTAAGCCGCACAATCATAATCCTAAAAATCAACATACCTTTTTTTTAAAATCTCTGCAGAAAACCTGTTGAGGTGAGCGGTGGCTGTCTCTTAATGACAAGAAGAAAACTTGCCAAATTGAATGGCTCCTGTCGCCTCCTGTGAGTGGACAATTAAAATAGCCTCTTCTGTCCTGACAGCTAGTATACTGTACTGTATATCACGTCT